TTGAGCCTGATGTAAAAGTTTTTGTGGCTTGCATTAATTTGGTTCTCATTGCATCTTACTCTAAATGTCATAAATCCTGAAGTGTTCACTTATCAGCCTCAAACTGTCTTCTTTTCCCATTTATCTTTCCAAACCAGGTGGCTTTGTACCATAATTAGGAAAATGCAAATAGAGTCTAATCCTGCAAAGCCAATCCTTTTGTCTCTGTTAATGACAAACCTCGGTTGCCGTCTTGTGAAGTCAAATTGTCTTAAAATAAACCAGAATTGTTCATGCCAAAGAAAATTGCAAGTCAGACAGCATTTAATGATGCTGCTCCTCTAAAAAAGACTGGAAAATAAAAGGAATACAGCTGTACAGTGGCTAAATACTCTTAAACTGACAGCTTTTTGGAGCTTGGGGAAGGGACTTTGACATTGATAAATTATTTCAAACTTCTTCCACTTTTATTTTTGGCATATGCCCTGCATAAATCAACATTAGAATGAACTTTAAATCTCTCCAAAACTGGTCAGTAAAGACCTGGAGGCCAACAGTAACACTGAAAGTGCAGCATGAATTTTGCCAAGAACTGTCTTACATGTGACAAAATGTCTCCTCTATCCCCCCTTTCTCTGAACATCCAAGCAACCAATCAGCCAGTCTTGTTCAATAAAGACTCAGGCCCACACGGGGCCCCATTTCTGCCACTGATCACAGTACGTAAAATTTAAGAATAAAGATTTTTTCTAAATACACATGAGGAAATATTTATTCACAGCCATTTTTAAATGCCTGCTCTGTTTGAGACCTTGTGGCGTTGCTGAATTGGAGTTTAATATTTTTCTGGATGATTTTTTACTTTAGGCTTAAATTAAAACTAATCAGAAATTAACAAATTTATGTTCAAGCTTCTTTTAGTTTTACAGTTTAGTCATAATCTGCTCTCTACCATTAAAACCTAAATTTTGAGTGTTCTAAACTTTCCAACGCTCGCCAGTCTCCTAATCTGTTTCCCATAATGTTTAGTTCACTGATTTATGGAAAGAATTGAAGCAGCTGGGGATCAGATTGTTATTGTAAGTGGACTACCCCAAAATATAGCTTGAACCACAGCTTGCTAAATACAGTAGAAGTCAGTGATGCTAATCTGTAATTGTCCCTCCAGTAACTAAAAATATAACAAACAATCCCATCAGAACAGCGCCCCTCCTATGAGTCCAATGAGTCTTTATGGGTTTTCAGATCGGTCTCAGAGTTTACTCTGACATAAATTCACATTCATTTCAATGTAGCTTATTTATTTAGCAACAATTAGAAACAAATGCCAACCAGAGGTACTTTACAAAACAATCGTATCCATTTCATGAACAGAAATATACAGTTATCTCAATCAAATCATTCATACAAGTTCAAAGTACAATCAGTGCCGGCCAGTTTGCACCAAGTCCTCCTGATATCAGGACTGGCACTATCAGGAGCACCCTATCCAGCTTGATGTGGTTAACTTGACCACATCAAGCTGTTTTCTTGCAGAAATCCTTTAAGCATGCATGTGACATCAGTGGAAAAAAACAAAAACAAAAATCAGGAATAAACTTTCAGTAGAACCTACGAAAGTTGTACTGGAAAATTTTGTATAAAAATACTTTTATCCAAAATATGTAGTCTATCTTTCACATTGGTTGTGTTGATTCCAGATGTTTATCTGTTTTAGGTTAATATATTGTTGCACAGATCCAACAAGGAAGAGGTTAGGAAAAGAACATAAATTAAAACCACAAAATTTTATGAAGTATTTATCAATTTTCAATACCCAGTTAATTCTGTTGAGAACTGTGTAAATCTGAGAATTGAATAAATCTGCTATCTACCATTAGCAAATTAAGATCAACGGTGCACCAGCTCCAGAAGGTTTATAGGAAACAGCCGTTCTAAATGTTGCTGAAAAATGATCAGACAAACATATAGCAGTTATGCATAATTTTCCTGAAGGTTTTCCGCGCAAAGTCCTGATTAAGACTGTTTAATCAACACTTTTGTTTTCTCAAGGGTCTGAAAGGATGTGACACTCCAGCAAACAGCTGAGGGGTTCTGCAGCCAACGACACAGACAGATGAGCCATTCAGGGGGACACCACAGCCTCCAAGGCTGCGTGTTCACCCACCCATCCACTCACTCACTCACTCACTCACTCACTCACTCACTCACTCACTCACTCACTCACTCACTCACTCACTCACTCACTCACTCACTCACTCACTCACTCACTCACTCACTCACTCACTCACTCACTCACTCACTCAACAAGCAGAGAAAGCCACGTTTATGATGCCATCAACAGGTAATTTTAAAGCACCTGAAAAGTTTTAAAAATTACAAAAACAATAACATAATATAATTGCATATATGTAACCTGAAAATAATATTCATTAGATTATTTCTCTAAGTTCTTAAATTAAATAATTTAGGAGATTTTTACCTGATCTAAAAATTAAAGAATGTTCATCTAATTAAAATTGTGGCTGTGAGCTAAATAATAATTTGATAGAAAATATCAAATGTATTCTTTGTATTTATTCCCAGCACAATATTCGTCTGTTAAATAATTTCATTGACTTTCAGGAGCCCTCCGTCTCTTTGACTCTGTGTCATTCTGTTACATTTTCGCTCATTCACATGCGCAGGTTGCACTTTGTTATTCAGAACTTTAGTTTCCCCGTCTCCTGAGAGCATAATCCCATCCTTCCATCTCTCCAGAGCTCATCTTCCCCTTTTTCATCTGTAAACTCTCAATGACTCCGCTGATCTTTTCTAAGCTTAGTTAATGTGGCAGACTCTAGATGTCAGTTTTGCAGAGCTATTTGACGTCTCCAAGATTACATTGTGAACCAAAAGGCTGAAATTAATGTTCATGGTCCCGTGAGAATGTTGCCATAGCAACACACAACTGAGATCAGAATAATAAGCAAAGCATAAAATGACCTAAATTCAAACTGGCAAAACATCAAATGATAGCACAGTTTACAAATCAGTTTCCATCTTGAAAAAAAAAAAAATCCTTCTTTTATTAGGATTTGAAACTGCCACAAACTGGACCTTTTTGTGTCTTATTGCAATAATGCTTTGCCTGAATAATTTCTAAAAAAGTTCATATAAATCATTGAGATGATTTGGGGGAAGGCCAGCTTTGCAGCTGCAATGCAGATATGCTCTGCAATCCAATGAAGTGGAGATGAATTGAAAACAGTGAATAAAGGTCAGCTGTTCGATGGGTTGGAGTGCTGTTGGACTTCAAAGCCTGCCCTGACAATACTATTCTTTAATGAACCCACTATCTTCCTTGCGTTCTGATGTTGCAGTCATGGATTAAAACATGAAATGAACAAATCTACAAAGTCTTTGCTCCCTGTGTTGGTTGCATGGAAAACAAGAACTGGATTCTTTTCGGACGGATGTTTGGCTGTTTTCTGAAGAATTCCATTTTTATTAAAATAAACACAATAAATGAAAACAATGCTAACTTTTTACCTCAGTTAAAATGGAGGCGAAATCATGTTTACACTGACTCTCTTCATGAAGAGCTGTTTTTTGTCAAAAGTTTCATACATGAACATTAAGTAGGTGTGAAGAAAATGTAAGAATACATTGTCTACAAATATTTTAGTTCATTTGAGGAGGTCTGTTTGTATGAACCAATAAAGAACATATTGGTTGTTAGAGCTATTTAAATGAGCACAACTTAATTAATGACATGCAATATTATTATTTTGATGTTACGTCTCATATGAATTCAAGAAAGAAGGACAATGAACAATTTAGGATGCAATCTTTCGACTCTATGTAAACTTAATGTCTCCAGCTCTGTAAAGCTGTGCTAAAAAGAAAACATTTAAACATTTTTAATCCCACTTTCATTTCTTTGTACATGATTTAATATTGTGGACTCTGTTTTAGCCAACCTTGATAAATCTAGAATCAAATAAAAAAGTAGAATAGCATGAAGAGTCTGGAAATAAAATCTATGTAAAAATATATATATTAAAAGAATATGGTGCTGTCATTCATCCTTTAGGCTTAAAAACAGGCACACTATTTATCTGTTTAACGGCCACTAAAGGAGCTGCTGCCATTAATTCTTAACTCTGTCCTCAACATCGAAAGGACATAAATTTCAGTGGTAATTTGTTGCTGCTGGTGGTTTCTTCCTGCTAAAGAGACATTGTCCTTTCTGTTATTGAACATGCATGCTCAGTGTGAGGGATTACTGTAAAGTCAGCAGCACAAAACACAAGCAACTGTCGTCTCTTTTCAACTATTTTGAATAATAAACTGAATGGGACTGCATTGTTTAATAATAGGACAATTTGTCTTATGAAGATTCAAGTTGGTTTTAGAATGAAGAGATAATTAGGAAACACACTTTGTACATGTTCAGTTTATATTTAGCTCTCCAGCTCTTTGTTGATTAAATATTTCACATATTTTTTGTCATGTTGTGATCATTATCTTGTTTTGTTTAAACCGAAATCCATAAAGAGCATAACATCAGGACTAACTAAGAAACCAAACACAGATGAATAAAGTGTGAGAAAGAACTTAATAGCAATAACAAAACAAAGGAGTTGTCAGAATACTGACCAAGTGAGAACCAGAAACACAAAGAGCTGTGGATCACGACAATAAATGAGCCATGTTGTTATTTTCGTTTTATTATTTTAGAATTGGCTTCAAAAAACTAAAGATGATTATCTGAGTCACATTTTATAGCACAAATGAGGTGACATTTTAACTTATCAGTAATGTCTTCAAAATCAAAGGGAAAACAAAATAGGGAAAAGGTCAGTATTTTCTCGATGGCCACTGTAGTCCACTTATTTTTAATACGTTGCGTAAAACAAAAATCATGCTCAGTTAGCAAAACATGCAAATGTTTTTTTTCTTAAAGTAAATGTTATATATCAAAACAAACAAAAATGTATTCTAATGTGTTTACAGTTAATTTGACTGGAGCCGTTTGTTCGATTGTTGTTTTTCGCAGCAACAGTGAACGCGTCACGGGCCCCTGATCCATTGATCGAGAGATCCAGGCGCCGGTGGGACTCCTTACTGTTTCCACGCCTCCTCCTTTCACTCCCATTGTGGTGAATCTCCGGCTCTCACACACTTTGCCAGACTTCCAGGAGTTGGAACGACGACTAGAGGAGGGAGCAACGCTGTGAAAGGAAGAAAAGGAAAAAGCAGCATAAACATATCTACTTTTCCGCATGGATGTCCCTCGCTCTCCTCGGGGACGTGAAGGAGGCGCGATGGTTTGCATTGCTGGGAGGACTTGAGTTTCTTGCCGGGGAGAAAGCACACTCTCACTCTCCGCTGGAAAGTTGTAAAAAGAAGTTCCCTTGAAGTTCTTGTTTGTTTGTTTGTTTGTTCTCCACCGCCTGTTCAGTTCACACGCAGTGTTTCCTCCAGCGCTGTAAAACCTCCTGCCATCATGGCGAGGCGGACAGCGGAGGCTCGCACGCCGAGGACTCGCGCTGCTTTCCGGGATAAACACCTTCCCCTCCGCGGCGGCTCGGTGGCTTTTTCGTGGCGCCTCGCTTTGATTTGCTCGGCTCTCTCTTGTGGATACTGCGGAGCCGAGACGGAGTTTTCCATCCTGGAAGAAGCGCAAGTTTTGGCGGAGCAAATGAAAAAGCTGTCCTCACAGGAGCTGGGAGTTTTCACGATGCAGGTAATAAAATAGTTGCATTTGATTCACGTTTTGACCCTCATTTGGAGGCCTGCACCTGGAATACTATAGACATAAGAATCGTGTCGAGAAAAGCATTGGGGTGTTAAGAAACAAAAAGCTTTGGCGTTGCAGAGCCAAAGCAATGCTTTGAAGTTTGGGAGCATTAATGTGGAGCATCAGCACCGATAAATCTTGATAAGGAATCACATCAGGAGACATTAACTAATTATGTGAAGACGGGACCCTGTAATCAAGGCTAACAGGCTGTGTCTCAGAGCTGATTCATGAGTCTGCAATGCATTTAATTGTTTTTTTTTTTTTTTTTTTTTTTTTTGGGGGGGGGGGGGGGGTCTAAATGCAGCATTCACAAATCAGTCAGTGAAAATCTCCTTGTTTTCTTTTTATTTCTTGCGGATAATGGTTAAATCACAGATAAGGCCTTTCTCCCCCAAGAGAGTCATCTAAAGTTCCTTCAGATGTGTTAATTGTTGAAATGCACCGATCAGCTTGTTAGAGATCGAAATGGGCCAATTATTTCTTCAATCTATTCTAATCACTGACAGCACAGATCGTTTATGTGCTCTTATGCACCCTTTGGAGTTTGATAAACATCAGATAAAGATAAGTTGTTTTGCAGTAAAAAAAATAAATAAATAAAAAAATCTGAAAATGTTCCGTGAATGCACAGAACAACAGAATGCTGCTTTTAAGGTAATTATTGGAATTTCAGGGTTCTTCACAGCGTGACATGTTGATTGCCAGAGTCTGACCAATTTAAAAGTATTTTATAAAACATGAAGAGGAACAAATGTGCTCTATTATCATTTCTAGAGAAGAAAGTGTGAGATTTACAAGTTTATCTCCATTTACATATTTACATACCCTGTCATGTCCATCCAAGCAATGTGTCCCTAACCTTTATCAGCTTTTCTTTTCCTTATTTATTTTACTAAACTTAAAACTAAAATGCACCAGAAAATAGATTGCTGGTGTGTTCTTTAACTGCATATGGTGGGATTTCTTATTTTCGATGCATTTAATGAATAGGGGGGCTGCTGGTGATTGATCCACCAAACAAGAGAAAGTCTGATTTCGATTTTCAGCCGATAAGTTGATGCATTTAATTTTCCTCAACTCTTCCCACTAATGAGGAGGATTTTATGTTCCAGCCGTAACTAATTGGAAGCAGACAGAACGAACACCTTTAAATCCATACCCTGTCATGTCCATCCATGCAGAGTCCCTTAAACACACCAAATGGCAGGGTGTAGGGGTGGTGACTGCTTCAGGGAGGGGAAGGGGGTCGGGGAGTGTTTTGCACTTCAGAGGCAGAGGGGCTCACAGGCCTGGAGCACAGAGGCAAAGGCAGCAGGGGAGCCGAGGCCCCAAACGCTGTTTCATCTCCTCTGCCTCCACACTGAGCCACCTTCATCCCAGCACCGGGAGTCGGCTTTGAGGGCTTCCTCTGATCCCGGCAGACCCGCTGTTGTCACTGCTCATTCCTTCCCAGAGCCCCAGTTTGTGCTCATTCTCTTTCTCACTCTTATTTCTAGTGCTTTGTCTCGGCATTATTCGTTTTTTTTTTCTGCCTGCAAACGCAGAGAATTAATGGCTGCTTCTGTTTTTTTCCTCTCTCTCAAATGACTGAAAAACCGTTCTGTCAACTACAAAGATGTAATTAATTAGAAGTAATTTTAGCTTTTTTCAGTCTCACTTTAAACTTTTATGAGTGATTTAATATTCATACCAAAAGTGGCATTCAGCATCACCCCAGAGCATCGGGGTAAACTCCCCGGAGCTGTCATGTTGTTGTATAAGCTGTGAGAATCTGTCGCAGCTGGAAGCTGAGCCGACTGATAGTGATGTGTTTTGTGCCGCCACATATATAACAGACATGCATGCAGGGAAAACGCTGTGAGACTGCAGGAATCTGCAGTCTCACATGAATTCTAAATTAAAACATTTTAAGAATTTCTATTAAACTCAATAATTTTTTTTACTTATGAGGTGTTACTTTCTTTTCTCTTCTTCTCTTCAAATGTTTTGTAACTAAAGAACATGACTGAATTTTTGCTTTTAGTCACTCCCTGCAGCCCTCACATGAGCTGCATGTGAGAAAGCAGCTGTCCAGATCAGCCTGGAAGAGATTCTGTGTGGATTTGATCCCATGAGCTTCCTGCTTCTGCTTGTGATGTGCAAGAAAGATTTATGGTAAATTAGAAGTGCTGTTTCTTACTTACAGCTGCTGGTGTGAAAATAGAACATGAATAAAGGTTAACAGGCTTTTAGAGCAAATATATCACTTATACTGATTTTTCATTATCTGCAAAGACTGAAAACGTCTGACACTGTCTGGAGTTATCAAAGAAAAAGCTATGTATTGCTTTTTCTTTCTTGTATTCTTACTTCTTCTCGGTTCTGCTCAGGCACAAATACTTTCCTAAAGGGAGCATCTAACTTACTATCACACAATGCCTTGTTAAAGCATGCATAACTGTTAAACATTTTCACATTTTGCCGAGCTACAACTAATTTCAACAGGTTTTAGTCATACATCAATATAATGTGCAGCATTTTGAAGTGGAAGAAAATTTGTTGTAGTTAAACTTTTTATATTAAATTCCAAGAAAAATCATATACTGCTAAACAAAATCTACAGCAAACGGTTTCATTCAGAAATTCCTTTTTTGGGAACTACAGTCCACCTGTTGGATCTATAAATCCACCTGTTTTTGAAAGTCTCAGAGTTTGTAGGAGAACGTTAGAAATTTCTGACTATCTGTAAGAAATGGGAAGGATTTGTTTGTTACCCTCCTGCAAAACTCTAAAATAAAAACATCACCATGAAAGCTTCCAACAACTTTAAATATACAATCCAAGTTCATACAAATATCCAATTGAGAATCTATGCGAATACTTGAATTGATGTTCACACATCCAGATTGCTGGAGTTTTTCGCAAAGATTCATCAAAAAATTGTCAGTCTTGATTTTTCTGTACAAGACAAAATATGGATCCAAAGGGACTGAACTGAAATGCATTTCTCTGGAAGTTATATTTCAAAGAAAGGTATCTTTATTTTTATCATTTTTCTCTCACTTCACATATTCTTGTCTTTATTGCTGGTTGTTGGTATAGAAGTGGTAAGATTTATTGTTATAAAAACATAAAAAATTTAGGATTATTTTCTTTCAATGTACTTTAAATCTTAAACCTATTTATTGTTTCAGCCCCCTTTGTGTGGAAAAGAGTTTGTTTTTTAAGCTGCGTGGTTTTTAAAGATTCAGTTTCATAAAAGATTTCTGAGTGAGTGTCCCATAATCAGAATTTAAAATGTAATTGTAGTCATCTCTGCTCCACCCCTCTTTCTTTTACAGCTGTGTAATCTGAGGCTGGCCAGCCTGTTGCTGAGTTTCCCACGAGACGTGAAGGAAACTGGGAACTACAGTCCACCTGATGACGCTTTGCTCTTTTTAGTGTTCAGATTTCTTGAGTTTCATATCTTGGCAAGTTTTCTTCGTTTTATTTAAAGATTGTACTTCTCTCCTGCAGTTGGAGTATAATTGCAGAGTTCATTAAAAGGTGGTTCTGATTTGATTTTTTTCTATTTCTAACTTCTTGTTCATGTGTTCATTTAAAATACACAATATAGAACTTAAAGTTTTGAAAATGTTCTGAACAACAAACTTTGATTTGTTTTGGATGAAAAATCTGTTTATTGGAAACATAATCGCAATCCCAGTTTTTGTGCCATTTTTAGCTGAACTTGTTCTTGATGACTAACTCTGGCAATTGTTGTTAGATTTTTATATTTTTTTTCTAGTCATGATTTTAAGCTTTTTCTTCAAGTGCTGTTGATGAAAAGGGCGACACCTTTGAATAGCAGTTGTATTGTCTGTTGCCATACAGTCACTAGATCCAGGCAGGATGCAGCCATCTTTAGAGGGTCCTAGTGGACAGGTATGGATTACAACATTTGGGAGGGATGAATTTGACTCTTTTAGGGCAACTTTCTGTTACATAGTCATGTACTACTGCCAGAAAATATGACTCTCCAATTCCAATTAATATGTTCTACCATTTGAGGGTCATTGGCATCTATTGTGGGGTCTAGTCTGGGGTCCAAAGTTGTCATATCAGGGACTCCTGAATCACTGGAGATCAGACCTGCAATCAGTAAAAATATGGTGTAATATGACATTTAGATGACTATGTACATGTATATCAAATTCTACATGCAATTTTAGCATTTTAATGAACATTCAACTATAATTCTGAATGCTGAACTGCAAAAGGAAGTACAGATACCCAATGTTTTAAATATTAGTCTAAAAACTTTATGGTTACGAAGCTGTCTGAATGAAACTGCAACATGTTGATCTGAAATGGAGCCAGGTTGATCCATGAACTAGTCGGCACAAAATAAATATAAAATTGATTATGATTTCTGATGGATAGAAGAAAAGGGAAAAGAGGAGATGATGTTGCATTAATGCTATGTTTAGTCTGTAACGTTTTCTGGTTTGGATTCAATCCAAGAGCTGTAGAGCCTTGTAGTTTTCCTACTGGTTTTCTATATCTTGGATTCAGAAATTCTAATAAGTTTATCAGACACTCACTCCCCCTTCCTTCTCTTTTCCTCCTCCTCCAGCTTCTTAGTAACCTTCCATTTCTCATTTTACTACTTTTCTTTTTATTGTTTCTCAGCTGGATAAACACAGGCTCTGCTCTTTATCCTCCCTTTATATTGAACCAGTTGGAGAGAGTCGGGGGTGGGGGATTTGAGGAGATATAGCGGGGCATCAGAATTCCTGCTACGCTCTCTGCAGTAAAAGCTTCAAAGCTTTCTTACGTCTTGCTGCTCTGCCTGCACCACTCTGAGCTCCATCAAGGTTCCTTTTACATTCACAGACTCATTGCTTCATCTGGGAGTATAATTGCTTTCTAATCCATTTTCTTTTGACTTCTGGCTAATTTTTGTGCTTGATGCGTTTCTCGCC